AGAGAGAGAGAGAGAGAGAGAGAGAGAGAGAGAGAGAGAGAGAGAGAGAGAGAGAGAGAGAGAGAGAGAGAGAGAGAGAGACAATTGGTAGAACTGACACAACAGGTAACACGGAAAAACATCTTTCGTTTTTGCCATCCATATCAAATACTGAATTTCTACATCCTCTGTCCTCACAATCTCTGCTCTTTTCGCCGCGAGTGGAGCGGGTCCACTTGTTTTTTTTAAGTTTTAAACCACCAGTACCTTCCCCACTGTTGGGAAATTACGTGATACTGGCCAGTACCTGAACTTTTCGGGGGTCGGCAGAGCCTCGGCGTGGATTCCCAACAGTGGGTACCAACTCTTATTATTCGTTATTTTGTTGTTTTTTTGATATTTTTTATTATTTCGTGGTCGGACGATATTTTGGCCGTGGACCAACGTGGACAGCGGCGGCAATGTGGAAACGTTACCGGGTCCCGTGAACGGCCGTTGTTGCACGGCAGTTGGCCGGTCGGTGGTGTGCGGTCGCCGGTGGATGGTCCGTGGTGGGCGACCGGGTTCACGGAGGGGAGGGGGCGGGGGCGGGTGTGGAGGGGGGACCAGCTCGCGTCGACGCACGTGGGGTTCTCCGCGGGCCGCCATCGCCTCTCTCTGTCTGTCTGTCTTCCGCCATCGCCACTCGCTCTCTCTCTCTCTCTCTCTCTCTCTCTCTCTCTCTCTCTCTCTCTCTCTCTCTCTCTCTCTCTTGCGCGCGCGCGCGCGTGGCCGTCGTCGTTGTTCCGTCGACAGTACGCGAGGAAGGCCGGCGCACTTGGTGATTGCGAGGTGAGCTCCCCCGCCCTCTTCTTGTTCCTCCGTGTCACTTCCGTGTCACCTCCGTGTCACCTCCGTGTCACCTCCCTCGTCTGTCCTGCCCCCTTCGTCTGTGTACGGTTGCACGAATCTGAAGCGCCTTCCGTGTTTGGCTTCTGATCCATCGATAAGAAAAGGAAAAATAAAAAAGAATATGGATCAAACCTCGGGGTAGGAGTTATATTTTTGTTGAAAAAAAAGAAGTACAAAAAGATCCATAACAAAGAAAGAATGAATGAAAGGAACAAAGCAAGAAACAAAGAAAGACAAAAAGGAGAAGAAGAATAAGAAAAAGAAGAAGAAGAAGAAGAAGAAGAAGAAGAAGAAGAAGAAGAAGAAGAAGAAAAAAAAAAAAAAAA